GATCGATGCCAATTTCCTTGAAAAGCGACCCACGTCCAACCCCTGTCAGTCTGCTTGAAGATGTCCATGCCGATGAATGTCGTCGCGCAATTTTTTGGCTTCTATCTGGATACAGTGGTAGCCCCTCTAGTTCAGGCTTTGGAAGACAAGATTAGGGAATTACAGGCCCAGGCTCTAGCTGTAACCGGTAAGTTACATATATTTGCACCTACTTTATACTTGCTATGCCCTTAGGGCAAATTTACTGAGCTTCCTCGATGTCCTATAGGCATGTTTTGGTTTCACAAAATGGCTTTACTAGTGCATAGGATAAAGGTTGTCTAACTGTAGGCCTTAGGGCCTCGGGGCTCAGATCCCTTCAGGATCACCCAGACGTACTGGTTCGATTTAGAAACATAAAAGTCGCTTTAGTAGTAAAAATAAACACGCTAAAGTGACACAATCAGGGACTATGAGCAGATTTCTTGCATAATTTAGGCATTTTACCATATTTTTTGGTTTATTTTGTTAGACAAACTAATCCCTCGTTTTTTTTAAGCGTAAGATTGCGATCGACTGCTTTAAGCCAATTCTTGGGGAGGCGGTACCTACTTTTTGGCAATTACACTGAATCTGAACAATAAACGTTTCAGGATAGCTCTTTTTTCATAACAGAAAATCAATTCTAGGCAATTAGGGGCAACAGCAATCTGGTTGGAAAGTGCGGTATTAGCATCAGTATATTGAGGGATATGTAGGAAAAATTCCATTGAGTTCCCTATTTGTACATATGTGTAGTGGTAGCGGTGTTCACCAAAATATGACAGTGTGCTGATTGTCTAGCAGGACTATTTTTAGAGGCTCAAATCTCGTCGAATTAAGCTACTTTTACATTTTCAGTAGCCCGACTTTCCTTTTTTCGTCAAATTCCACCAATAGGAAGACGAATTTCCACTTTCTTTACATTCCGCCCATATAAGATAGAATTTCCCTCAATTGGCATCCATATCCCGCGGATCCGCATGAACTCGAGTTCATGTTGATGGAATTTTCTTCTATTTTAGTATATGAAAACGAACATAATCTTATTTAATTTGATAATTTTCGATCACTGCCGCCACAAATAAATATTCATTTACACTCACTAGCCAAGAAATAAATGCTTGACCACAAAATATGTTAGACAGTTGGGTGGGGGGAAAGATGGCCCTACAAGTTAGTTTTATCGATTGTTTTAACCCAGCATTCACCGAGACTCGGCGGCATTGAATTTAGGAGTATATCCCGTCGGATGATGATAACCGATTCACTGACGAAGTTCAGACGTTCAGTGCCACCTCTATCTGACCAAACGGGCGGAAACTGGGGCACGACTGTTCAGACAATAACCCGAACCGCAATGATGGCGCTTCAAATGACTTATAACGCTACACTTCACAACCCTCCAGGCATTTAGTAATCGTTGTTTTCTCGTGTGTTGCTTTTCAGATAGGGAATCTAGGGTAGCTAATCGGGGTGATACACCCAGTGATGTGTCGTCCCAGCTATTCCCCTCCGTCTACCCTTTCCCGGACGCTGGCTATCCCTCCCCACCACCTCCTACGGTGTCAGGCTCGAGCG